TTAAGCTTCATAAGATGCTATTCAAAAAAGGCTCTCAAAGCTTTAGAAATAAGGTATTTAAAAGCAAAAAAAAAAAAAAAATTAAATTCAGCCAACAGACTCCATCTAACCAGAGCCACTGAGCTACCATTCTGCCACTGCGCTGCTCTGGACTGGAGTCAACCAGGGAATGATCCCTCTATTGCATAAAGGAGCCTGGACCTTCCGCAGTCTCGCCTGGACCGCAGTTCAATTGCCACAAGACACCGGAGCCAAGGAGGATCCCAATTTAGACCGCGCGCCGGCTCTGGGTCTGCCTGTCCCGCGAGCCCCGCCCAAAAACGACTAAATTCACGGTAATCTGGTGCACACAGCTACAAAGGCTGTGGGTCGGCAACGCTTGAATTGCGGCGAGTTTACGATTATGGTGGAAACAATAGGTCTGCATCCACAGAATGCTAACGGTCCGGGAGCAGGGTTCCGCCGCCAAGACTTCGCACCATTGGAAACGCACCAGAAGTATACCTGTGGGACCTCCCGCCTCTCCTAAACAATGAAATCCACCAGAAATATACCAGCCTGTGATGAAATGTATAAATCCCAAGGAGCTGGCTCCCTACCTCACTGTCATAACGCACCCCGGTGACACATGCTTCTGCCCCAGCTTCTAACCGAATGACACAGGGTGTGCACTGTTATCGCCCGGCTAAGCTCCAGCTCTCCTTTTGACACATTTATACTCTCGGGTTAATTTGTAGTTCTCGCTATAGGAACTGGTCCCTGAGGGACAAGGGGAGCAGGTATTCCAGATGAGCAGACCCTGGTCCCAAATGCCCGCCTCCTATAAATATCTGGATCTCTGAGGCTCCCAGTGGAAAACCCAGGATTGGCCCCCAGGGGTCGTGGCTGACCACTCCCCACCCCTCATCCACCTCAGGTAAACTGAGAGGGCTCCTTGGCAACCAGGACCCCCTCCCCACCTTGCCCCCGCCGGTTGTCCACACCCCGGCTCGCCAAGGAAGCCAGCGGAGAACTCACAGGCACCTACGGGTGTCGGCGACTAAATTCTATCACCTGGACTTGGTTTAAATTACTGAAAGGACAGTCTGGTTTTAGCTTGTTTTTATTTGGGGAGGTGGAAGGTTTCAGAAGGAATCGCACCTAGACTAGAGCTCCTCTTTGTGCTGCTAAGATCCAGCTGGCAGCCCCCAGCAGTGGACCCTCATCTCCTGTGGCCAGACCGCCGAATATTTGTGTGTGAGCCTGAACACGACCCAGGACCCCGAGAGCTCCTGGGGGTAGGCAAAGACTCTCTTAGATGAAAACAGCTTTCGCAGTGCCCCGTGTTAGAGTCGCTGCCTTAGACCCAGCATCCGCTTCCTGGCACCTCACTGCACCCACATCCACACCCACGCGAGACAGCGCCAGGTCTGCAAGAGTACCAAAACCTCCAGTGAGCAGAACCACTCTCCCGGCCGCCACAGGGCTAGAGGGGTGTTCTGGCGCGGCACCGCCCTAGGCCTCAGGCCCAGGGTCTGGGCCCACTAGAGTCCGGACTGCGCCAGCCAGGATGGCAGCGGCCTTCTTCCTGCCCGAGCCTCAGGCTCACCACCCGGATATAGCCGCCCCAAAGTTACCGGTCTCGTGAAATGTCCACGGAACCCAGGACCGGTGGGAGCGGCCTGAGGGACCAAGTCCAACCAGCTGGTTTTACCCAGTCCGGAAAAAGGAAAGGGCCCTGCTGGAGGGCACCGGCAGACAGCGGCAGAGTCAGATCGCCGATTCCCAGCCCGAGGTTCGTCCTCCCCTCCCCCCAAATCTGAGACTGGCCTCTCCTCTGTTCTGAGCCTCCCCGCTGCCAGCTCTGAACCAAGGCCACCTTGGACACTGCTTCTACCCACATTCCCCGCCACCAAAACTCACCTGGGGCATATTTAGACAGACCAGACCCTCAGAATAGGATCTCCGCTCCTCCCTCGGAGAGGGGCGGGGGCCCAAGTGGGGGTTGTGGCCCGGGTCTTTGCTTTCCCCCTCGCTCGCTGAAAGGCCAGAAGTTAGGCCGCAGTGTGCTCCTGGACGGTCTGCCGCGCCCAAAGCAAGTTTCCAGGAAAGATGGGAGTGGAGAGAGGGCGAGAGGGAGGGAGAGAGAGAAATAGGGGTCAATGGCTGGGAATTACCTCATGCCCCCACCCACCAGCCCAGGGAGTCACCACTAGCTTCCCTCCTCCAACCTGCAGGTGTTTGGAACCACCAAGGGTATCTCCCCCACCCCACCCCCCAAAAAAAGAACCCTACACCTGACCAATCAGGAATAACTATTTAGTCCACCAACAACCCCTCCCGGTAGGCTTCCTGGAGCATTTTCAGACCCTCCAGCCAGGATCTGTCCAGTTCAGGGAGGCAGTTTTCTGAGCCCGATGCATCTAAGCGGTTGGCTCCCTAATCGTCTGCGACCACATAGCAAGGGGGTTATCCCCGATGCCTGGCCGGTGGGTGGAAGGATGTGTGTCAGAAAAGGAGAATAGGGTCTTCAGACTCTTGTCGTGGGGCAGGTCCTCGGAGTTCCTACATTCTCTCCTTGACTCCCACCTTCCACTTCGAGCCCAAAGCGAAACCAGAACCCAACTCCAGGCGTGGTACTTTCCAGCAGGAATGGAGTCGGCATGGCAAGAGCAGAGGGGGGAGGATGAAGGAAGGTAGGGCATCTAATCTATTCAGGTCCCTTCTTGTCTTCCAACAGGTTAAGAAAAAGCAGGAGATGAAAAAAAAAAAAAGAACAAGGGAAAGAAAAAGCGGGGGTGGGGGTGGGGAGAGAATCCCCAACCTTTGCCTCCATAACCGTTAGGAATGATTTCAACTTTCTGGTGTTTGGACTGGCAGAGTAAGGGAGAATTCTAATAATTTGTTGCAGAGATACATAGGGCAAAAGGGAGCATAATAAGCACACCCAGCACTGCTGCCGAGGGTATCATGGGGTTTAGTTTGCCTTTTTTTTTTTTTTTTTGCTGAGGATTTTGTTTCATTTGTTTTACAACCTAAATCGTTCAGTTTATGATCATACATCGAAATCTTGGATTATTTGCGGGGCTCCCTTCTTTTTGCCCGGAATTGATGGAAATATGGGAATAATTCTTCCCTGCGTTTCAAACCAGTGCAGGAGGTTGTCTTTCTCC